CCATTAACCCTGTTGAATGCCAGTAACACGTGCCGCCTTTACTTCAGCTGAACCACGCACTGGCTCTCCCAGATCTAGATTTAAGGCCTTGGACAAACCGCAGAATCTTACCCTGGCATGGTGCCGTCCTCCCCAGCACTAATTAAGCCCTAAATAATTCTCATCAGTATGTGCACAAAACAAACAAGTCTTGATTTAAGAAAACTTCCCCATTGTGTCCAGGTTAATATGCTCAGTTTGCAGGTTTCCACAGTCAAAATATACTAGTTTTACTTTAAGGAGAAGGAGATATTTATTTCTAGCCATCCTGCCACTGTTTTTTTGTTTTTTTTTTAATTATTATTATTCTAGATATTGAATCATGTAAAAAAGATTACTTATATGGTAATTGATAATAGGCTGACAACATGTACTCTGCTGAACCAAGAATCAATGTGATTATCACTACCGTCTTGCAATTTAATTATTGCTTCTTATCATCAACCATTTCATGAAGGTTTTTGGCAAGTAGGGGAGGAAACAAGGTGCAGATAGCAATATAAGGGATGGTAGTTGGATAATAAGACTATACACCTAGAAAATGCAATGAGATGAACAGAGTTTATTAAATAATTTGGCACATGTTGAGATGAGAAATATCCACTTCTGCACCGCTTTCTTTAGTAACTCAGTCTAGGACAGAAAAGGAGCACGCCAACACAGACTCGGTGCTGAAGGCTCTAGTTTTGACCCTTGGACTAAATTATCTTTTAGTAATTAAAGTATTATTATTTTCATGTTTTGATTTTGAAGCATTAATAAATCTGAACAAAAACTGATGAAGCCCTGTTGTTCTGCCTCCCTGGGACGAAGCTCGAACCAGCTGCTGCTAAATATGTCAATACGAGGAAGGCAAATCTGCAAAGGAAGAAGTCTAATCAAGCTGGGGCTGGCCCGTCTGGTCCAGTGACCTCAGGAGCAAGACCTGGGGATCTCCGGAGCAGAGCTGGGCAGAGGCTGGGTGGGAACAGGAGCAGAGTCACATTTAGGGCCTCTTCACTGTAACAAGATGGCAGAGCTTGGATTTGGGAAAGTTGGATGCTGTTATGGATTGAATTATGTCCTCCAAAAAGATATGTTGATGTCTGAACCCCTGGTACCTGTGAATACAACCTTGTTTGCAACTAGGATCTCTGAAGATGTTATCAGTTAAATGAACATGAGGTCATACTGATGTAGGGTGGGTCCTAATCCAGTGAGTGGTGTCCTTATAAAAAGGAAAAAACAGAGGGAAGATAGCCATGCGGAGTCCAAGGCAAAGCTTGGAGTGATAAATCTACAAGCCAAGGAACACCAAGGATCGCCGGCTGTCACCAGAAGCTAAGAGAAAAGCATGAAACAGATTTTCCCTCAAAGCTCAGGAGTCAATACTGCTGCCACCCAAATTTTGGATTTCAAGGCTCCAGAACTGTGAGAAAGTAAGTTTCTCTTCTTATAAACCACCCAGTTTGTGGTACTGTGTTTAGCGCAACCTTGGGAAACTAAAAAAGGAGTCTTGGTGGTGCAGTGGTTAAGCGCTCAGCTGCTAACCAAAAGGTCGCCGGTTCAAACTCACCAGCCACTCTGGGGTAGAAAGCTATGCAGTCTGCTTCCATGAAGATTACAGCCTTGGAAACCCTATGGGGCAGTCTTCTTCTGTCCTGCAGGGTCACTATGAATTGGAATCGACTCAAGGGCAAAAGCGTTTAGGAAACTAATACAGATGCCATGACAAGTAAGGAACAGGCCATGCGAGTAGTCTCCGAGTTAGCAAGTTGGGTAAAAGGAGGCAATGCAAGGTCCAATAGCTGGCATTTCTCCCAGAGGATGCAAATTGTGTTGACAAGGACTGCACAGGAGTGCTTGGGGTTCAGTGTTTCTTTTGTAGGCCAGCCTGAGTCTCAGAGTCTTTGCCCTTGGCACGGGCAGGGCCTCCTGACTCTAAAGATATATAACCTGGTATTTTAAATTCCCAGGAGAGTGGTGAAAAGAACTTAGCACCTGGCAGAAAGAGGTCCAGGACAATAAATGCTAAGCATGTGAATTTTGTTGACTCTTTGAATGGAGCAGAGGACAGACCAGAAGATTATGTTGGTCCTAAGATTATGTTTGTCCTATCAACCTGTGAGGATCCTGGCCAGGCCACTTGTCCCCTCTGTACCCTATAAAGGGAGAGCTGTTTTGAACTACCTCATGGGGACAGAGTCCAAAAAAAAAAAAAAAAAAGAGAGAAAACAAGTGAATTTGTTTGGAAAGACTAAAAAATAAATACATTTTAAAAGAAAATCCCCCTGTATCTCCCCCCACCCCCCGACCCCTGTATTTGTGCAGAAAAACCAATCTGGGCTTACCTAATCTGTTTCATCCTTTTCTTGAGGGTAAAGCCCACTTCAGTATCCAGCAATAGGCAATTACTTAAAGAAGTACATTTAACTATGGAATACTGTATAGCCATTAAAAATCATATTGAGGAAAGAGACTTCATGACATTAAAAATAACATACTGTGTGATTCAATTTTTGGGGAAATGGTTTAAAAACAAATTCATTAAAAAATAATCTGCAACATGAACCAAAATACTAACAGTAGTTATCTCTGAATTGTGGGATTACTACTGGCTTTTCTTTTGTTTTCTTTCTTTCTTTTTCTTTTTTTTTTTTGTGCTCTTCTGCATTTTCCAAATTTTGACAGCCATATATTAATCTTTCAATCAGAAAAACTCATCATTTTAAAAGGGTTCAGGTTTAAGCACCATGTGACAGTGTTTTAGGCATTGTGGTCATTGGTGAAGTTGCTCAGCAAAGCGTCTCTGATTTTAAACTGCAGACAAGGAGTTGGTTCTAAACTTTTCCTTGGAAGTCACCACCATGGGATGCTAACCATAAGCTTCCTGAATTTAGTGGGAGGAAAGTACCCCTGCTGGCTGCATTCTTCTCCCCTCTGGAAAGTTCCAGGAACTCTGCAGAAGGCCTATGCCTGGGACAGCTGGTGGGGAGATCAGGTGGTCAGATTTTGAGACTTGGTGGGTGCTATTTGGATTTGATTCTTTCTAAACCAGAGGTTGCAAAATTTTTTCTGTAAAGGGCCAGACAGTAAACATTTTCAGCTTTGCAGGTAATACGGTCGCTGTTGCAGCTACTCAACTCTGCCATTGTAGCACAAGGCAGCCATAGACAATATACAAACGGTAAGTGTGGCTGTGTTCTAATAAAATTTTTATTTACAAAAAAAGTAGTTTGCTGATCCTGATAAACTCCAGGTTTCCTAACACAGTTTGAGAAGCTGAAGTCAAGTCAGTCCCTGTATATAGATGTATCTGTAATGATGGCTGTCCCCAAAGCTCTCACCATTCTGAAGTCTGATTGGTGGTGACTCTTCATACCAAAAGAGAAGCCCAGTATTGCACTTATGTTTTAAGTCATTTAATATGTTGGTCTTTTTCCCTCAGTGAAACTGTGAGTACTTGAAGGTTGGGAAACAAGTCTTATTTTTAATAACATCTATGTAACTCGTACGGTGACATATAAATAGAATGTGTTTGATACACCTTTGCTGAACACTTTGAGTAAGTGAATGAATGAGTGTCCTCCTTCACCAAGCTAGTGTGACATGTAGTTCTTGAGTGACATCACTGGGGAACCACCCAAGTTCTGCCCTTGAAGATTTGATCTTGAATGGGACATCCTGTGTCTCTGGGGTTGGGTACAATAACCTGCACCAAGTAGCTCAGAAGAACAGTCAGAATGCCAGATCACATGGCCAAGTTCCCAGAGCTCAGGCCTCTGCTGTTCACACCTTCCAGCCTATCCAAGTGGGCCAAACTGCAAGTTATTATAGTGTCCACTGCACAAATAATACCCATGCCTTCTAGAGAAATTTGTTCCTGCCCAGAGAAGGAACTTTCTTGAAGATGTTTCTAGAAAATGTCAACACAAAGAACCAGAGTAGGTTTGGCCAAAGCCGTCCCTTCTAGAGGGTTTCTCTGCTCTCACCAGCAAGGGTTTCCACAAGAGAGAAGGGTTCCAAGCTGATGGTGTTTATGAGTCCTTAGGTCTTGCCTCATGGCACTTTGGTACCTCCATGACATGCTGCATCCTGTTTTGCATTCCCTCCTCTCAGATAAGGAACCAAAGGGAACACCTCGAAAGAAGACTCTCTCTTTCCCATTTTGACAGTCTCAATCTTCACCACTCTCCTCAAACGCAAAGCACAACAATGAGATAGAAAAATAAGTGAAGTCCTGCAGCTTCTGGACCCAGGCTCTTCCCTTCCATGGCTGAGTCTTGTCAGAACTCACAAGCCCAGTCTCAGAATGAGGCTCTCAGCAGATTAAATTATTCATTCCCAAAGAGAAAGGAATTTAGGAATGTATCGCCCCAACAGAAAGAGCCTGGGGGTAAAAGCCAGGTTAGACGATGGATACTAATACAGTACTAAGAAAGAAACTACTTTGCTGAAGTTTATTAAGAGTCAGATGCCTGATGAGGTAAATATTTTGCAGGGGTACACCATAATTTTAAGAAAACTCAAGGTAGGATATATATATATGTGAACATAAGCATAGTCCAGAGAATATGTATAGTATGCACACACATATCTGATTGTATTCAGTTTTCTAGGTAAATACGAACAGTCACCGAGCAGATGTGTGTTCAATCCAACGATCAGAAAGCAAATCCTGGAATTCTGAGATTCCCACCTCCTATCCACCTCTGAGTGACCTCACTCCAGGCCACAGAGGTTTCTGCATATAGGCCAATAGAAAGTACATGAAAACCGAAGAAAGAAAATCTTGACAACAAAATAACCCCAGGGACAAATCCCAGAGAAATAACCCTCAGAAGCCAAAGGCCAGAATTTGTCTGAAGTCCCAGGCACAGATGGTGCTGGTGGCCCCAGACCCACACACACGGCTGGGAGAAGTACTGTGACTTTCAGAACCCAAGACTCAAGCACGGTATGGAACAAGGGAGGTTACTCACGCTGTTGTTGCTTCCTTTGTTGTCCTCATACTTGGTTTCTATGTGAATGGAGAATTTCGGCAGAAAGGAACACTACGGAAAAAAGTAAACTTTTATTAGCTTAGCATTTTATTTCTTCACATATTCAATATTGTCTCTGCATGCTCTACTGACCATTTGGTTTGGAGAGCTGTTCTAGAGCAGAAATGTTAAGATACTAAGTCAAAATCCAAATTTAGACAAGAAAAGCTGACTTTGGGAACTTGAGCACAATTCCTTCCAGAAGTCAAGCCAAAAAGAATAACCGGCAATGGAAGGCAAGTGGGTGAGGAGGACATTTCCAAAATGAATGTGTTCTATGAATCCCGCTGCCACTTAAGTGGCTTTAGGAAAGTAAATCCCTGAAACAGAGCCCAGTTCTAGTTTTGGGGTGCTTATTTTGGGGCGCACTTGCCACTGCTGGTATCTTGGGGCCCATTTCTAACCTTTCTATATATATCACCTATATATTTGTATATACACATAAATTTACCCACTGCCATCGAGTCAATTCCAACTCTTAGTGACCCCATAGGGTTTCCAAGGCTGTAAATCTCTATGGAAGCAGACTGCCACGTCTTTCTCCTGCAGAGCCGCTGGTGGTTTCAAACCACTGACCTTTCGGTTTATAGTCGAGCACCTTTAACCACTGTGCTACCAGGGCTCCTTCACACATAAAGTTAGGGAGGTGATATATTAGAGTTTTCAGATCATGAATTTTGAAGGCAGACAGACCTAGCTATTAATTTTGGGTTATCACTTGACAGCTGTGTGACTCATTTACTTCTCTGAACCCCAGCAATATTAAAACAGGCACAATAATTAATATCTATTAGAGACATTGTGAGGATTAAACAAAAACGTGTGTAAAAGGTATATCACGGGGCACAGAATAAGCATTCAACAAATGGCAGTGGTCAGTATGAGGCTGTCACTGAGGCTGACATAAAAGGCAGCCCCTCTTTTTGCCAACACAAGGGAGAGAAATCCCAAATGCAACACAGTGAGGGTCCCAGTTTCACTGAATTGCATTTGGCACATTCAGTAGATTTCAAAGGTTAAGAGTAGCTTGAGAAGTGGATTTTGATGGATGTTGATGTAACCTCCCTCCTGCTGGCACTGAGCTGGGCATTAACTTTCTTGGACACCAGAGATGGAATTGAAGACTAATGGGTAAAAATGGTCTCGCAACTCTACCAACAGCTGCGGGTGTTGGGGAAATGGGACTCGGGCTGACACGGTCACAATTCCAAATGGCTAGGTCCTTCATTTATTTATCCAACACTCACAGGACATGCCCTCTAATTACAGGCACTGCTCTTAAGTGCTTTCAAGTTCTAACTAATTTATTCCTTTCAACAACCCCAGGAGGTGGGCACTATTATCGTCCCTGCTTTAAAGATCAGGAAATGGAGGCACAGAGAGGTTAAGTAATTGAATCAGGATCACACAGCTAGTAAACTGTACAGCCAGGATTGAAGGCCTAATAGTCTGGCTCTGATGTTCTTGCTCTTAACCACTATTCCACTGGTTCTCAAAATGGCATCCACAGATTACCATCATCATTTGGGAACTTGTTGAAACTCAAATTCTCAGGCCCAACCCAGATCCATTGAATTAGAAACTCTGGAGGTGGGGCTGAGCAACCTATGCTTAACAAGCCCTCTATGCGATGATGCCACCGCATGGTCAATTCAGAAAACCACCGCGTTTACACCATGCGCTGCAGGGAAAGGAAATGTAGAGGGTGTGTTATCTAAAATCCCAAGGTCCACAAGTGCCCACCCTCCCCACTTGTGCTTCATCCCATGATGACTATGCTTTCCCTTCAGCCCAGCTGAGACCCCTGGTTGCATCTGTAGGAGAAGGCAGAGGCCTTGGACATGCCATCAATAACTCTCCTGATATCACATGCCTGCGTGCATTTGGCATTCATCTGTCTTAACCTGAGTGAAACAAGCAACCTGAACCGTGACTAAGGAAACATGGAAACAATCAATCCCAGTAATTGCCTTTATGGAGAATGAGGCTCTGTGATTATTCATTAACACCTTCTTTGCTGTCTCTTCTCAAACCTCTCACCCAGTAACTGCTGCCCTCACACCCAGTCCCAGGAAGTTCCAAGGCAGAAGCTGCTCCGCATCAGGAATTGAGACCTTGGAGGACGTGAGCAGCTCCTAGCCCCTCAGTGGAGCTCTCGACTGAAGGTGACCTTGGGGAGGTGCACTTGACTAGAGACTGTTTTAAAAACGACAAGCCTTTAGGTAAACTGACTTTGAACTACTTTTTAACCTATAATTCACATGAGAGTCAGTCCACTAAGTGAATACTACCAGATGGTGGGAGAGCAGAGCCGTTCCAGGGTGGGGAGTTGAGTCTGGGTGCGTTAGAGTGGAACTCCCCAAGTCACTTTTATAAGTTGAACTTCTTTTTTTTTTTTTTATTGTACTTCAGGTGAACGCTCACAGAACAAATAGTTTCTCATGAAACAGAAGTACACATGTTGTTTAATGACATTGGTTAACAACCCCACAACCTATCAATCCTCTAACTTCTCAAACTCTTTTTTTTTTTTTTTTGGTGAAAATACACATAGCCAAAGATTCACCATTTCAAAAATTTCTACATGCACAGTTCAGTGACATTGACTACGCTCTTCGAAT